GAGATGCAGAACCAAACAGCATGCCAGGGTCATTTCACAGGGAGGCCCGGTAGGCAGCGCGGATCTGGAGGCTGCAGATGCCAGCGTGTCTCTCCAAGGTCAGCACCTCGCCAGGCGACATTAGCGAAAATATGGAGCCTGGAAAGAGGATGAAGCCAGCCCCTCCCCCCCCCCCGAGCAAAGGCAAAAGTGAAGTATTTAGATATTATGAGAGCGTATTGAAGCAGGAAAGTTTTTAAAAAAAAATCTAAACCAGACCTTTGATTTCCCAGTCGGAGCCTCCTCCAAAGGATTGGAAGTAAGATAATAAACGAGAGTGAGGTAATGAAGAATGCTGGAAGCTGCTTTTATCAGCTCAGACAGCTTTACTGTCTGCAGCTCAGCGACTGATGGTACAGTCACCCATACTGAGTGGATTCACGGTGCCGGGAATCAGAATGAGGTTAGGTAAAAGTTAGCAAAAGTAAAGCGCTTCGCCGACAAGTTATCTGGGAGCTCGTTTCGAATTCTTCATGAGAATTTCTCCGCTTGACGGCGGCTGCAGAAAGCTTCAGCCGGGGGAATTTTTTCAATTCAGAAACGTGCTCTGATTTAACTGGAGTTGGATTTTAAAGATCGATAGACCTCTGTGGTTAAAAGTTCCACTTCTGGCTCTTTTGAAGAAAGTGGAAGTGCCAAAATGTTTCTGGAAACATGTGGAGAGAACCTGGGAAAAGCAGCCGTTCTGCTATCTTTCTCCTGATGTCCTGCTGCTTTCTTCTCTCAGCCTCCTGCATGTGAGCCTGATCCTCCATTTAACTCATCCTTCAGAGGGACAGGAAGAGGCAGTGACCTCACACCACCCACAGAGGTGGGACTGAAATAGACTTTTATCTGTCTTTTTTTTCCAAAACAGGGTTGAATTAATGACCAAATTAGAGATTTCAGCTTTACTGGAACAATAGTGGCCAGTAATAGCTTCTCAGAAGAGATGAAAGCAGCTCAACTGGACATTAATAATGTGTCTTAACTCGTCTTTCAGATGGAACAAATGGATTTAAATTTGCTGACTCGGTAAAACTGAAGACAAACACACATTTACTCGTACATAAGATTATCTCACACGGTTTATTGTGGCTCTGTGTTTTCTGGAGTCTCTATAAACAGAGGTGGAAAGACATGGTTGACATGACCCATAAAAGCACAGCTGACACAATGAGAAGTCTCTCTCTTCAGCCCAGTCTCCAGAGTAGGATTCTGTCAAATATGAGTCCTAAAGGGGACTCCAGCATCCTGAATGAGAAGGGTTTGTGTCCCAGCACGATCCCAGACCACAGAAACTGACAATTCTCACAGCGACCCAACTGAACGCTGAAATTCCACAAAAAATGAAACCCTAGAGAGACTCTAACTGCCTCAAACTGCTGGATCTGATCAACACCTAACGCCTCCCATACTTTAGACAACCTTGAAAACACTTGAAAAATCTTTGTTTACAGGAAAAGTCCTGTACAGGTTCTCAATTTAAAGTTGCAGGTTTCAGAAGATTGTCTCCCATCTTGTTCCTGGGGGAAATAACTGGACCGATCAGCAGCTTTTCTCCACAGAAGACTTTTAAAGAAAATAATAAACTTTCTTCTTCACCATTCTGTTGGAGTGGGAAGGAGACCAAAGTTCAGAGACTTGTCCCTGCTGTTTCCGTCATGCAATTAGGTGCCCCTTCTTTTTTTTTGTTTGTGGTTTTCTCTTGTCGCCGTGGTTACCTGTGCCAAAGATTCCCCAGCCTCCTGTTTCGATGGACCAACAGATGAAGTTTGGACTGAAAGTACACGACGCACAACCGAGCCGTGCAGAAGCAAAACTAAAGACCCAACGGGACCAAGCTTATTCCAGTTAGATCTGGAGAATGTTTCTGAATTTGTGACATCCAGCTCCACCATCCAGCTGCCTGTGGTTGGAATTACAAAATGGGAGGTCCTCAGGGTTAAATTGCAAACATTTGTTATGAGGCACCGTAATCAAACAGTGGATTAAAATCAATCCATTATCGTAACTGCCTATTGCCTAATAGGGTCGCGGGGGGGGGGGAGGGACGGAGCCTATCCCAGTAGTCAATGGGGTCACCCTGGACGGTCTGCCAGTCCATCATAGGGACACACAGAGACACACAACCACAGAAACAGACACAGGGAGAACATGCAGACTCCACACAGAAAGGTCCTGGTTCCCCAAGGGATTTGAACCCACAACCTTCTGGCTGTGAGTCAATGGCACGAACCACCACGCCACCGTGTCGCCCTGATTAAAAACCAAATATCAATTTTTTCGTAAGTTTGAAAGAAAGTTAAGGCTTGCGTTGATGAACACATCAACAGAAAACTCTAAGTTCAGGCAGGTGACACCTGTTGTGTTCTGCTCGGTTTATCCCCGCGTCGCTATTTTGCGGCTCCTGAAAATAACTCCGTGGGTGAAACGTGAGTCACAGCTTGCGGTGTGTTCGGCGTCTCTGTTCCATTCACATCTCACGCCTTCAGGAGTCAAAGACCGAAGCACCATCCGTCCATCATCTCACACCAAAACAAACAGAAGATGCTGCAGTTGTTTTTTTAGATAAAAACTGGACATTTTAAAACCCGCCGGACTGAGGTTGCACAACATCGACATATTGATATATCTATGACATATTGTTTCTGCTGGAGCATTCAGACGGAGCCTGTGGGCGAAGCCCCATTCTCCGTGGAGCGTTTCAACCCAATAAAATCAGAAGAGTCTGCTCTTAAATACTCGGTTTGGCGTTTTCTGCAGACTGGTGAGTCACTCAGTGACATTTACCGTTCAGGCTGAGGGAGGGCCAGACAGAAAATTCAGAGAATTCAAAGTTGGACCGCTCATTCTTATTTAGTTTCATCTGATCCAACTTAATACTTTCTGCGTCATCTGGGTTTTTTGTTTTCACCTGGCAGATTTTTCCATGAAGATCATGTTTTTTCTGTGTGTACCTGTGACCGAACCTTGTGTGTTTTTGTATATTCACCTTCGATACCTTCTTTTTTCTCAGTTATTTTGGTTAAAAAGCCTTTTCTCTGTGTGTCTGTGTGTCCTGATGTGCGTCCCGCGTCATTGCCACCATTCTGGAAAGGCATGGGAACATCATGTCAGTCTGGTAAATCCAGCTACGCATGACGCACACGGACGCCTGACTCAGAAAACATCAGTCATCAGCTGTCAGGACTGAAGGGGAAGGTGGCAGTTTGACAGCTGCGCCGTTGACTGACTTGCAGGAATCTTTGACAGACTGGTCTGAAAAGGAGAAAGATTTTTGGTTTTTGGTTGCATTTTCTCTTGATTTCAGTGTTTTCCCCTTCTTATATATCCCATATAGTGCCTGGTAAACTACTATGAGAAGGCAGTTTTTCTAATTTTCCCTGGACTATTTTATTAACAATAATAATATGAGCTCTAGATGGACATCAGTGTTTAATCTAGAAACATTTTTTTAAACGTTTTTTAACCACAGAAATCCTTTATTACAGGGATTATGTAAAACTTAGAGAATAAAAGCAGCCAAACAGAGTTTAAAAAACATTAGAAAATATATAAATATATAACGGAAGAATTATCAACGACCTGTTGTTCAGAGCCATCACGACATATCTGGTGGTAAAGACTCTTGTGCAGAGTAAATCTTATTTTGTTGCCAGTAATGGGACAAAATGGACTTAGTCACTTCCCAGCTCAGCTTGAGGTGCCTAATCGTGTCTGGGATGAGACTGTGCCATCCGACCACTAATAACCAGAGCAGACTTCTCAAAGTCCATGCACAGAGAGCACACACAGCGCTGGAATTTAATCAATTGAATCAGTTTCTCACAAAATGAGAGAGAACACTACTCCCAGGAACGCCTTGAGACGTACGTGCTTTATTTCAATTACAAAGCTGCTGAGACTGTTGACTTAAATAGTTTGTGCAGAGCATTCAGATATGCATTGAATTTTAATGCACGCGTGACTACAAACCAAGTCGATTTGATTACAAATAGTTGTGTGACTGCAAAATTCATACCGGAAAAGTTCTTGCTTTGTGGGCTTGTGCTTAAAACAAGAACACAACTGAAGTGTTTTCATCCATTATTATTGTCTTTATGGTTGGCTGGTGCTCATCTTGGCTGGCATTTGGACAGGTCACCATTCTATTACCAGTCTGACATTTACTGACAAATGTTGCACACTTTCGCAACAACAATAAGGGTAAAAAAGACAACAAACTACAGTATATTTACAAAATGGAAAGAGGGAAACTGCATCTTACATTTGCAGCTCTTCTAAAAAAAATATTTATTTTTTTTTGTAGATCGACAATCATTTATATATGACTTTGTCTACAAATAAAAATGAAAAATATTGATAGTAAATACCTGGAATATAAAGCTTCTGTTTAATTTTTAAAGACTTCTAGATTCAAATTTAGGTTTGTTGTTTATTTTACCAGTTTCAGTGCACCATTTTAAACTCCAAGAAACGGTATATCAATGTTTAAATATAATGATAATGATATATTAGCGTTTACTTTGTTTCCTCACGGAAGGTAGAATGAAGGCGAATGACTAGAGTTCATGTTTTGCTTTCTGTCGCCATCTAGTGGATTGCTCGAAGAAGGCAGCTTTTCTCTGATTGGTTGTATTTGCGATGTGCTGTACTCTGATTGGCTAGAACAATTTACAACGTCTCCAAAATCCCTCCGTATAGAAACAAGCCTCGTAAAACAATTCCTTAATAATAACAAACTTAGAGTTCTTCAAAAATTATTACGTTTATCAGCACCTAAATTACATAGTTAATTTTACTTAAAATTTAAACACAATACTAAAAAAAATCAATCTCACCATCTATCCAAGAAGTGTCAGAGAACATCAGAGTTATCGTGTTTCCGTCCGGAAGATTAAAGCGGAGGGAGCAGCTCAATTTATGGTGTTTCGAGTAACACACTTATGAGAGTTTCCGTGCGAGGCTGTTAAGGCGAAATGGATGGGTTTAGAGCCATTTTTAGGACAACTCTGGTCTTTGTGGCGGTGGAGTTGTGTCTCGTTTGCTGTGATATAACGGACGGAAACGCCGAACACCTGAAAAGGGAGCACTCGCTGATCAAACCCTACCAAGGTAGGGAAGCCCTGCTAGCTCGTCTGCTAACCAGGTGCTCTTTCACCACATCAGAGAAGTTATGCACCTTTCTCTGCTGGTCGGAGTTTATTAGAAGCTAATTAGCTTCAATATTACCACCCCGATGTGGGAGGATATCCGATAAATGCTGGTTACATACGCTTAAAACGAATCGTGTGGCAGTCTGGGCTGTTTTACCTCAAGAAGTTGGTGTGTGAGACTCACCATTAAGGAAACGGCTACATCAAGGACTATGCAAACCCCACAAGTTACGTTAATAACATTTGAAAGTCAAACAGAAGCTGGGAAGTTAAGAAAAGTGGTTAAAATGTCGCTTTTATAGAGCGCTGCTTTCAATGTCCGTCGTAAAACTGATTCCATCCTGTTTGTGGGGGCGGAAGTGCCTCAAGAGGAACAAATCTAAGTGAAAACTCATGCAGGTTACAAAATAAGTAATCATTGTGGGTAGTTTAGCAGGTGTGTGTGTATATGTGTGTGTTTGCTCACCTGAAATGTAAAACCAGCCGGAAAGGCGTGGACATATTTGCACAGGAGGTGTATCTGAGTGTGTTCCCACCTGTTGGTGCTGCAGGTGTCGGCAACAGCCCGTCCAGCCAGTGGGACTTCTGGGGGAGCACCTTGGTCACCAGTTCGTACGTCCGCCTCACGCCCGACGAGAGGAGCAAGCAGGGATCCATCTGGAACACTGTGGTGAGAGCCGAGAATGGTCTCCATTGGCTGGTGCCTGGAAGGGGAGAAGCCTGAGCTTCTTCTTGTGTTTGCCGCCGGCAGCCCTGCTACCTGAAGGACTGGGAGATGCACGTGCAGTTTAAGATCCAGGGATCGGGGAAGAAGAACCTGCACGGCGACGGAATCGCCATCTGGTACACGAAGGACCGGCTCCACCCAGGTGACGCCTCCCATTTTCCCCTCTCGTAGGATTTCCCAGTCCCAGCCCAGAGGTCCGGGTGTCCTAAACACAGCCTCTGCTGGGCCTGCCATTTTCTGCGCATTCTTTCCACTGTTGTCAGCCTTAATTGCTAAAAAAACAACTCAAACCGGAGTAGTTGAAGAAGTAAAAGTCCATTTTTGTTCATGTTTAAAGTGAGATCAAAAAGGAAAATGGGCTTCTTTTTATATTCTGTGTGTCGGTTTTCTGTCCCAAAGAGAACTTCCTTTAGACCCGGGGTGGTAAACTCCGGGGCCTCTTTGGACCGCCGTCCTGCAGGTTTTTAGAGGTGTCCCTGCTTCTAAACACCTGATTCTCATCGACACAACATCAGCATTCCTCTGCAGAGCGGAACCATCTTTAGAGGAGATCAGTTTTATCTGAATCAGGGGTGTAGAAGGAGGGAAGCCTCTAAAAGCTGCAGGACGGTGGCCCAAAGAGGCTCCACCCTGCTTTAGAGGCCGTCTGGGCTCAGCCCGAGGATGCCATCTGGTTAAATGTCCTTAATTTGGCCCGTTTTGTGAGGGGAAAAGAAGCCGACGCCCTGCCTACTCACACACTCCTCACCCGATGTGCTTAAAACCAGCAAACGTTCAAGTTTTTACAGCTTAGATAAAAAAAAAAACAGCTCTGGAAAAGCAGAAAAGATGCTTTTCCGGCCTGGTGAAGGTTGTGTGTGTGTTTGTGTGTGGGTGTGTGTGTGTGAGAGGTTTTAAAGCCTGCTAACACCCCCCCCTCCCCCGTCCCGAGTCCCCCCCCCCTCCCAGATGCCCGCCTACCCCCGGGCCCCCGCCGGGCCCCGGAGGCGCCTCGGCCCGGCGGCTCACGCGCGGCCCCTCCCTCTCTGCCTCCACCCAGGCACCGTGTTCGGGAGCCAGGACCAGTTCCTGGGCCTGGCCATTTTCCTGGACACCTTCCGCAACGACCTGCACGGGATGGACGTAAGTCTGGCTCTCGGACGCTGACGGCCTGGTCTTTTCCGCAGGGCCCGTGTTCTCCAACAACGCCCACTTCCACGGGCTGGCGGTTTTTATAGATACGTACTCTAACGACGAGGCCGTGGACGTGAGTTGCCCCCCCCCTCCCGCCGGCATGCTGGTGGTGCAGTCATCCATCAGAGCACGCTCATGCTTCAACCCCCACAGCTTCCTGTGTTTATCCATCCCTCTTAAAGAATGAAATCCCCGTTTTTAGTGCTGCCGGCTCATATTTGATTGGTCAAAAGCGCCTCATTTGTGGACGTGACGTCACTGTATGACTGGACTCGATGGCGTTTTTCCACCCGCACCGCTCTTATTTTTTTGTTTTCATCCGTTTCCCGTTTTCGTTTCGGAGCACGCGCACCTTTATTTCTTCGTCTTTCCTAAACCTGCTGACCGTTTCCCTGTGTGTCGCCAGCGCTCCTTCCCCTACATCTCGGCCATGGTGAACAACGGCACGGTCAGCTACGACCACGGGAAGGACGGGCGCTCGTCGGAGCTGGGGGGCTGCTCGGCGGAGATCCGGAACCGGGACCACGACACCTACCTGGCCATCCGCTACTCCAAAGGGAGGCTGACCGTAAGGAGGGCTTCGGCCCGTCTCAGACGGCCGCCCTGGGGGGGCCTGTCGGTCACCGGGGCAGTCGGCATTCTCTGAACGAGCCCAAACAAGGACCTAAACGGCTCCTTTGAGCTAGTCGATTTGTCCCATTTAGCCGATCCACACGTGGGATCTCAGAAAAACGTGGGGAAAAATGGGGTTTTTAATCGAGTCGGAAACTCCCCCGAGTCCCAGACTCGGTCAAAAAGCGGGGACCCTCCCACCACGGCGTTCCCTCACCTCCCGTCTGTCCATTACAGGTGATGGTGGACGTGGAAGACAAGAACGAGTGGAAGGAGTGCATCGACATCGGAGGCGTCCGCCTCCCGACCGGATATTTCTTCGGAGCCTCTGCAGCCACAGGAGATCTGTCAGGTTGGCTTTAACCTCAAAAATTCAATCAGTTTATTTATTTTTTTAAGTTAGGTTTTGAGCTCGACGTGAGACGTCTTGTTCCAGATAACCACGACATCATCTCCATGAAGCTCTACCAGCTGATGGTGGAACACACCCCCGAGGAGGACGGCCTGGACTGGACCAAGATCGAGCCCAGCGTCAGCCTGCTCAAGTCCCCCAAAGGTGGGTTAAAATGTTTTTTTTGTATTTATTTGTTTATTTGACAGGGACAGTACAATTAAACATTGCAACCAAATAGGTGGCCGATGTCCAAGTGCATAAGGCTTGTAGCCGTGGGCTAATTTGCAGCCTTCGTCCCTGGTTAGGCTTTT